AATAGGTCTCTCAACAGGGATACTAGTCGGACTTGTATTTTATTATCATTCACTCAATATGCGACTCTATGCTATTAACAACCACATTGCCGATTGGCGTGTCACAATAACAATTTCAGCAATTTTCATTATCTTAAGTGAAGTTCTCGTATGTGGTATCCATCCATTTCCTTACAATAACAAACCATTGTCAATGTCTTCGTTGTCAAATGATACTAGTTGGATACAAATGTTTCTTACATTACCAAGTAAGTAAAGAAAATTCATTATCATATGCTATCATCATTGTATTCTTCTCCTAATTACTAGTGTTTGCACGTCTCTATCTAATTGCCCGTAGTGTAACATTGCATTCACCATTGGTGAGTGCAGCTTCATCGCGAACTATTGGCTATCTTAATCGAGTTCCAATAACCATTTCGTTTATCCTTCGAGCCTTCTTACAAACCTATCCAGCTCTCAGTTGGACATGTGTCATGGTAGTAACGCTACTTATTGCTACTTGGTCACTGCGTGTGTGCGAAAAAGCAATGTGGTGGCCAATAAATCCGTTATTACCACGATCGACTGAATCTACGTCGACATTCAGCAGCGCAATATGGCTCACAATTGTGACATTTACTACTGTCGGTTAGTATATTTACTACTAATATCGAAGATTATGAGAATTTTTACTCTTCTAGGGTACGGTGATGTTACACCTGTAACTTATTGCGGTCAAGGTAAGCTCAGAAGATTTATATAATCTTTGAATAAATGAATAAATTAGTAGAAATTGTTCATTTTCAAACCTATAATATTACCATTTAGTTTTGATAATTTTTTTTGCAACTTTCTTAAAGTAGACATCGAATTGTGCGTTTAACCTATCGCCTTATACTTCACAATGTAAGCGCATGTTTTTACAGATGTCCATAGATAATTTTGATATTGGTAAAGTTTCACTAACATTCCCGTAGGACATTGTATTATGATCAGTTTTGTCCAAGAATATTTTAATATTTCAACAAGAAACACGTATCTTTAATTGAGAATATTAAAGTATGTTTCGCTTAACTAATATATTCTTTTGCAAGATGCATTGTATTAATGAGAACTCTAGAAAATCATATATGTTCTTATAATGATTTTTGTATAGTTTCAAAAAGTCAATCGTTTATTAAATATTAATCAATGATTCTATGGATTCTATTCCAAGGAAAAGCGTAAGTATGAGCGTTCGAAAGCCGAAGATTTTCTCCTTAATTTAAACTAGGATCACTTCACTGAAATAAAGACATGATTTTGAGATAATAAAGATAGACTATACAATATCGTGAATAATACTAAGAAATGCCTTGCACAATATATGTGTGGTTACAAATATTTATCCAAGACAGTCAAAAAAAACTGATAATCAATGTTTCTGAAATAAATTAAATTAGAAACATTCACCCGTGAGTAAAGTAATAATATGAGATTTCACTCTACAATAATCGAATGTACTTTATTCAGAATTTGACGGCTTTCGTTTAAAAAGAGAAATGATGACAGAGAGCGGAACTGATAGAATGCTGACATTAGCACATTAGGCTACTTGAAAAACTGTTTTAAAATGTTTAAGAATTACATTGTAATAATGTAAATATCAAAAGTTTATTGCAAAATGCGTCAAAATTTTGAAAGATGCATTTTTGGTGCTAGAATTTTTCGTCGTAACATCAATCGTTGCGTGAATAAATCGTTGTCGACAAAATGTTGCATGACTTCATTGTACAATAAATTTGTATATTTCAATTCTGAATGAAAAAAGATCACACATTTATAAAACGCATAAAGACTGTTCACTATTAATTCAGGTTAAATATGTCAGCGTTTCATTCTCGTGAACTGTATGCAAAAACCGATCAGAAGGTTCTAGAAAATGTTTAGGTTTGTAAGCGGCTATATGATACTTGTATTGTTGGTCGGTTACATTCCGTTCTGACCAATCCTCTCGAAAATAAATAGTCAATTATTAAGTCAGAACATCCTATTCTTCGTTCAGAGCCCCGACTCTTTTTACAATTGTTTCCACTGGAATCAGTCCAAGCACTTACGTCTTTGTACACTAGAAGAATCTTATGTATGAAAATACTTCAGATAGTCTCAATATAATGTAAGTTTTGAATGATATTACACATGTGTCGCATATATCTTAGAATTTTTTTATTCTGTTAATATAAGCTAACGGATGTTTTAGCAAGTCTTTGTCGGATATATCCGCAGCAAAATATTTATGAGTTTTATAAATGTATCGATCATGTTCCAACTCAGAATCCAATTTTTTTAACCTGATATCAGTATTTCCTTACTATGTCTTTTTCTTCACTCATCGTCATTACTTTCTACGAAATCAATTAGAGTTATGAAAAAAAATTGTACAATGAAAACTTGCAACTTTTTTTTACAATGATCTGTCTACAAAAAAAATTGTTGCGCAATGATTTGCCCTGCGCTAAAAAGGCCGATCACGACATTTTCGAGGTTCTATCGCTATTATTAAATTTTATAATTGGATAAGTTAGTGCAAAATTGATTTATAGCGATTAAAATAAATCAAGAAAGTGTTCTACATATGTTTGTTTATGAGAGAAGATTAATATTGAGTAGTTTGAATCCATATTGGTTTCCGTAATAATGAAAGAGATGGATACTTGGAATCAGCTTGGTCAGCTGATGTCTTTTACTTTTAAGTAGATTAGCGTTTATGTACTTGAACAGCTACTATTATTGCTAAATATTGTTCATAATAGTTTAAATCAATCATTTAAGGACCGATTAATTGTATTTCTAGCATAGCAATATGTATATTATCGTTTCTTGGAAAGCTAAATAAATCAAAAAATATAATTGCCAGGAAAGAAAGCTGTTTTGAGATCGAAGCTCCAGTTAGAAGAACAATAAGTCTAATTTGCTTGTTTCGTTTCGTAAAAGTCTGTCTTAGACTAGAATCGCTTGATTTTCACTCCCAAATTGAAGCCTTGGAATAGAAAATCGAAGTTGGAAAGCTATTAGTTTACGTTTGCACAAAAGAAACTATATCAAATTAATACTATTCCTATACTAACGAGACCAAACCTAGTAAAGAAAACATTGCAATTAAATTGATGAAAATAATCAAGACATGAAATATTAGTCAAAACTCTGGCTAGAATGTCTCGCAGTTATTATGATTCTCACACGATTCATTAAAATATGTTGTTGTTAGCTAATTGAGAACGATAAGTTTCCAGTGTGTTTGATCGAAGATCATTATTTTGACTACTTTTACATGCATATTTAGTATATACTATATTTATGTTAAAAAGACATTTTTTTCTCTCTGATTTGTCGTTCAGCTACCAATGTCTAATTCAATAAATCTCATACAAAGTCTTAGAATCTTCAAGAGTAGGTTAGAATTATTCTAGATGTTCAAATGTGTCTAGTTGTCGTTTACTCGGTAAGCCCATATTATAAATTTTCAAGCAGACCAGTAAAACACAACATATTTGAAATCTAGAAAATTTTTCTCTAGGTGTCTCTACCATTACTGCTTTTTTTGGTGTGTTTGCTGCGGCTGTTTTGATTGCTGTGTTTACAAGCAAGATCTCATTAAATCGATCCGAACAATACGTTCTTGATTTTATCCATCGAATCAATCGGGCTCGACTATATAGGGAAAAGACAATGCGAATCATTCAATATTCTTTCCGAGCATGGTTTCTCAAACGAAACGGTCATCATTATCGAGCAACATTCAATTCACTCTATCATTTACATTCCGCTCTTCGAGCAGCACGTCTCATCAAACAAGAAGATCGAAATGCAATAAATGGCAATGAATCGTTAATGACAATACTTAGTGATGTATACGACGAACAGAAAAATAATGACATATCGCTTACAAAACTCAAAACTCAAATTGGACATCTTGAAGAGAAGATGAATGGGCTAGAAAGTAAATTGGACACTATAGTAAACATGTTATCTAACAATCATCCCACAGTACAGCATAGTTTATTGTGAAAAACATTCAACGCTGACTCTCACTTCTGTACGATGTTCTCAAATGAATTTAGAAGATTGATTATTTCTTTCTGATTCAATTTATAAATTAACTTTTTACTAAAATCAGAACTGCTTAAACTGAGAGTGTGGGTGTTCTCTGAATGAGAGTGAGGTTGGGGGAAAAACAAGATCCATACTACACGTCGACACATCAATCGATTATTCTATGAAAAAAGACCTCAGTTTCTTTCACTGCTACTCTCGCCAAATGTAAGCTTCAAACAGCAAAATACCAATTTCGCCCTACAATGTTTTAAAGATATCTTTTCCAAATTCTCTGTAACTAATATGATTTCAAATAGACACTAGTAAACTATCATATCAATAGATCTTTTAAATCTTTTGTTTCAAAAAAGCAGCCACAAAGTAGCATATATTTAAGTGAGATTTAAGAATTTCTACTGAAAACACCACCAAAAAGTCTTTTTTTTAGTCAAAATATTTTGAATATGTGACTTCTAAGTTTGAAAAAGCTATTGTGATGAAAAAGAATTGCTAACGTATTTTTTACAGGAGCAACTTCAGGTAAGATGAATCTCAGCCTTTAATACCTCATTGATATGGAGAGAGGTCTTTCGGGATATAGGTGTTTTCTAGTGTGTTTACAAGTGGATAGGACCTAGAGTTTCTCTTTGATTTCATACACAAGTACGGTGAACTTCTTTGGTCATTTTGATGATGAGAAATTTCTGTAAGAGAACGGTCGCGGTACGGTGATTTTCTGCTCTGGAATATTGCTGCCGTGTGCCATTGAATTTTACGGCAACTTCAGACCGAAATGACATGGAAATCGGACGAAAAAAGATGGAAATAATGGTGTTGACAACAATTTCTCCCTTTTTACAGAATTAAGCAGGAACCATTAGTATAGAAAAGAATGCCAGACTAAAACAAATATAAGTCTACATTCATATAAAATTCCATCAATACTATAATGTTCCATATAAATTACCATTATTATTATTCGAATTTGTCATATTATGTTTATATCCAGTTTCTGTGTGTTTAAAAATAACAAAAGTTTCAAAAAGTTTCATGTGATCTAAGAGCAGATCGATATATAGAGTATATATCAATACTTTCAAATTCATCTAACGGTAACTTGTAAACAAAATCAAAACAATCGTCGTTAGTAATTTAGCATTGTCTTATTTTAACTCAAACCCTCAACAAAAATGTGGGATTTGGAATCAAAGCATAAAACTTCGTTGAATGATATATATATAACACAAAATAGTTTTTCAAGAAAAACATTTTCTGGAAAAATATGAGAACATCATGGTATACAGCATGTGTTTTTTGTCGGAAGTTTTTTTTCCGAAAAACATTCTCTTCATAAAAGTGAGTTTCGAAGTGATATATTATCATTTCTGAGCAAAACTCGTTTGACCAAAACTTTCCATGAATCCTATCATCACTGTTTTCGATAATGAAGCGGACGTTACATACTATACCACAAAATTGTATCGCTATTTTGTCTCACTGTCTCATATGAAGTAAATAAGAAAGACACATTGACGTAAGTTTGCTTGTTTTCTAAGCTCTTCTAAAGCATGGAAAAAATGGGAGAGCTAATATATTGTTGATAACAAGTATGAATCGCAGAATTGATTCGAGACCATTACGTGATCGGTTGCTGATCAGTCAATTCGACAGAGATGTAAGGGCAGCAAAAGAATGATGTACTTGTATATCTGATGAAAAATATTTTTCTACAGTTCCAAGCACAGAATTGGCTGTTGTTAACCTTTTTTAATGACACCTAATACTAGTTATAAAAAATTGGGAAAATATCAAGTAAAGAATGTGAATCAGTTTATTGAGATTGAAATCAAAAAAATTCAAATGAAGTTTTCTGATGAAATTAAAAGCGGGGAAAATGGTGGATAAATGTTTTTCACTTGTTTGGAATATTATTATGTGGACTATTGCGTTGAAAGCAAAACCATATTGTTCCAATCGGTCTCTTTGTTTGGTGTAGCAAAATATTTTCTTTGGAGTTTATCAAAGACCAACGTAAGAATACGTCGAAAGACTGGAATCAGACTCTTCCGGACAACAATTGAAACATAATAGCGAACTGCTGGATTATTATTGTATTCCTTGCTGACATCTACCATTCGTATAAGACGTACATGATTAGTTACATCAGCTGCCAAATTACGTCTATAAACTTCTTCGACTGTGCTATCGATAATATCTGATTGAAGACGTTGTGCAACAGATGAAGTCAACTCTTGCAGGGATGAATTAAAAATCTGATTGTAAATATCATGTTCGTAAACATATTCCACAAGCATGTCACGCGGTGGACAACCAGATCTAGATTTCTGTATTGTTGATCGTAGTCTTAGATTAATAGGTCTTCTCAAAAGATTGATAAGAAGATCTAGAGATTCTCCACTGTCTATGTCTGCACTCTTATATTGATAAGGTTCTGTTTCAAATTTGATATCATATCCATGATTCGATTCATACGCTGCCAAATCTGTGAATCGTATGCTTTCTGGATTAAATACAGTAGCATCGTTGATAGCTGATTGTTTTATTCGAAGATATTCGTTTTTTTCTATTTCGGGCATATCAACAAGTTTCTTTGGTTTGACGTGTTGTCTCTCATTTGATAAGATCACGTTACTATCCGTTTTTTCATGATTGGTCATGATTGATTCCTCTCTTTGCTCATCACTATTGTCGGTTGGCGCAATCGATTGAACAATTATGCCATCATCTAAACTCAAGAGAAAAACAAATTCATGAATAACTAAGCATATTCGTTCTTCTGACTATTTCCAAGAAAAGATTAAATAATTGAATTAGACTTGGGTCATTGAGCCATTGACGGATAGATATAAGAAAAAGATCAGTAAGCAATTTTAGAAATGGTGTGTGAGCCTATACAATCTACACAAAGCTATATGCGTCTATTTGTCATAAATATCTCCAAAGTTTCATTTTCGTAATACGTGATGATATACTACTTTTGTGACATCTGATTGAACAGCAATAGAAAATACTTTAACAAAATATCAATATAATAGAATCTGAACAATTGAGCGAAAGGTAACTCTAAAGTACGTATATAAGGAGCATATTTATGAACGTAGTTATTCGATCGTGTGCGTCTACTTGTGTTGGTTTGTTTTTAAAACTCCTGACAGTCATAAAAATAGAAGGTTATTTAATAAACAGAGAAGAACTTTTGCAATATCGAAAAAAATGAAGTTATTGTTCTAGATTGATATTGATGAATAAAAACATACAACTTACCTTTAGTTGGAAATTCTTGCACTTCTTTTTCTACAGCTACATCAGGTATTGAAGTGCCATCACCTTGAAAGAAAAATTGAATTTATACAACAGTCGTACTAATTATGTTCATCTAGTATTTTCAATCGCTAGCATGCTAAGTATTCTCAAAATGGTTTTCATGAGAACAACGAAAATAACCGGTCAGATTATACTTATTATAATTAATTTTCGCACGTGATCTAGTAGAACTCGATAAGTTAAATCAATATCCATTATGTATGTGCACTGATTATGATCGAAATCTTTTTAATAAAACAACACAGTTTTAGTTTCTATGTATTCTTTTACGGAAATTGGCACCTGATTGGAATATTTTCATTTAGCAATAACACATTTCAAAACGCATTGGATCTTTTAAATCACAATTTGAGCCAATCTGCCACGATGATGTTATAATCGATTGAGATTAACTTCACAATTTTGTTTATTTTATGAGTTATATTTCGAGACGTCATTGATATCGAACCATTATGAGAGTTTTTCAAATCAGTGACAGTTCACAGGTTCATTAAAAAAGCATTGATTCCATGACCGCAACTATTTCTTAGCTAAAGCAACATTGCTCAAGAGAAAGTGATCATTCTTCTGATCCAAAGTTAGTCAAAAAGAAAACGATAAATCTTTCACTCTTCTTATACTGTTCTCAATATAGATACAAAACTAATGCAGAACTACCAGTTTCTATTATGTATCATTCTAAACCAACCACAAAAGAAGAAACAGTAAGAAAATAAAACTTGTTCATTTTGAGTCATAATAACAAGCTCTCTTCCAGTATAAGCTGTAACGTAATCTCTTTTTCTCACAAAATCATATTCATTTTCTTTAGAAGTGTATCGGTCAATTATCATTCTCCTTCTTCACAACTTAGACTTTCAAAAATAGTGTAAATTTTGGCATCGTTATCTATAACTGAAAGAACTTAACTTACCAACAGCAATATCGCCATCAGTTTCTTCTGTTTGCAGAGTTCTACTTGATGGTACTGTTTCTAGAATGTATATAGAAGATGATAATTCAACAAAAACTTGATGCTTGTGATTAATGTGACGCAAAAAATTAGGCACTATGGACCGCTTCTTATCATAATAAATAATAGTATTTGAGGTCTTGCTCAGAGATTAGCACTTACCTGGTATCGTAAACGTTTCAACTTTTGGTATTTTGGCAACCATGCTGACCTCATCCGTTTGAAGTTCTATTTAAAAATAAACCGATTCAGAAAAAGTATATTTTTCGCTTTCAATTCAACATCTCTGCTGTGATATCTTGACATAATATCAAAAGAAAACATACTTTTATGTTCATCGTATATGTAACCTATTAGAAAACTTAACTTCAAAATAATTTTTGAGATACGAACGGAACATTTATTTTGATGGAATAAGTTGAACATTTGACAACTTCAACTTACCAGCGGCCTTGACTGATTCAGCGTTTTCACTTTCACTTGTTGCGCTCCGCGCTACTGGTTCGTCTACAAAGAGGTTTGTTTCAGCATTATGTATATGAAGAACATCACTTTTACAAAAGTCTCTCGCTCGTGTTTGGTATGATAGAGAAATTAGGTTCTATAGACTGCTTCTTCTGGAGACACAGAAAAGTTGCTATTCTAGTCCGAGGAGCATGACTTACCTAACATCGTGATCATTTCCTGATTTTGTATTTTGGTAGCCATGTCGACATCATCCGTCTGAAGTTCTAATTAAAAGAAAAACTCCATTTCATTAGAATTATATTCTTCGTTTCAAATGTCGCATCTCTAATGAGATATGCTGACGTAGTGGCAAATAAAATGTACAATTAGGGTCTTCATAAGGGAAAGGCATTTATTTTGATGGATGAGGTTTAACATTTGACAACTTCAACTTACCAGCGGCCTCGACCGTTTCAGCATTTTCACTTTCACTTGTTGTTCTTGATGCTGTTGGTGCTTCTTCTAGAAAAAATATTTGTTTTAGTATTATGGATATGAAAAATAATAATTCTACAAGTCTTTCGTTCATGTTTTATGTGATAGAAAAATCAGGTTTTCTACACCTCTTCTTGTCAGAACATAAAATAAGACGATTTAGCATTCTGATTCCTCGAGCATTAATCGTCTAAGATCGTATTCACCTCGAAGTCGTATGTTGCGGAGATTCTACTGCTCGCAGCGCTATCAGATTCGACTATAAATTAATGCTATTTCATCAAAATTGTACTTCAATTTTCATGCAATATCTCTGTTTTCAGATCTCTAGATTCTATCCAAAAAAACATAGTATTCATCTCATTATATTTATAATTTCTTTTATAATGTAGTTTTAAAGTAATCTTTAGAAAATGGGAAAACATTTATTTTGATCGATGCAATTGAACATTAGCAGAGTTGAACTTACCTGAGGCCTCGACCGTTTCAACACCTTCATTTTCACCAGTTTTCCTGAATTCCGTTAGTGTTTTTTCTACAAAAATATTTGTTTTAGTATTATGCATATGAAGAATGTTAGTTCTATAAAAAGCCCTCCTTAGTATTTAATACATGCAAACAGTAGGGTCTGTGCACTTTTTCTTATCGTGCTATTTAATAATAAGACTTTCCATTCTCATTCGTGAAGAATGAATTAATTAATTTAATAAACATTTTGTATTTTTGTCTTTTGGGAAACCTCTTGATCGTAGTGGTCTTTGACTCTTTTAACCCTTTGAGGGCGGATTTTTTTTAATCGAAAAATGGTTCTTCAACCAATCTGTTGTATTTGGCTTAAAATGATCAGATAAAAACCTGATGATAATGCATCGAGAGAAGAGAGGGAGCAATCATGCGTGAGTATCTAGTAGCAGAAAGAAAGGAGAACATCTGAGAAGGATCTATATGACAGGAAGAAAGAGAGAAAAGACCTGCATGAGATGACAGGTAGGCGACCTATTTACCTTAAAGACTGTAACAGTTTAATGTAGAGCAAACATTTTCTGTACTGAAAAATAGGTGGGGCAAATAGGTCACACCGTTCTCAAAGGGTGAAATAGAAATTCTATTTCAGAAAGAGTGTCATTTTTTATTTCCATTCTGAACCTCTGCTGTAGCGATTTGACATAAGATTAAAAGAAAGTCTGCTATTGAGTTTGTGATATGTGTAATTCGTTTAAAAAAAAATTGAGAATAAATCTGAGATAATGAAAGAAGAATTTGTTTTGAGGGATAAATTGTAAAATTAGACAATCTAAACTTACCAGCATCTTCGACTGTTTCAACATCTTCACTTTCACCAGTTTTGCTTGATCTTATTAGTGCTTTTCCTGGAAACAAAATTCGTTTTAGTAATATGCAGATGAAGAATGATATTTCTATAAAAACCTAGCGCCTGGTTTTGGTGTAATACAAAAATTAGGTCCTGTGCGCTTTTCTCTATCGTAGATAATACGAATTGCTATTGTGATTGGTGGAGTTTGATATACTCAACATCATAACCGTAATGCTGTCCTATATTTTAGGAGTGCTGCTCGCAGTAGCGGTCTTAAATTGTCTAAAATATAAATTCCATTGCAGGAAAAGTCCCATGTTTAGTTTCTATGCTAAATCTCTGCTGCTACTCTTTGACATTATAGCAGAGAAAATCATGCTATTGAATTTGTTGTATATGAGTAATATGTTTTAAAATTTATCTAGTCCGAACATTATGAGGAGCAGAAACAATCGTGAATGAGCTGATACAATGCCGTCAAGGAAAATAAGTATCTAACAGATGGTCGTATGCGTGCTGTTAATCAACTGTTTCTGTTTGGTATACATCGTATTACGGTCGTCTATCGGCCTACCGTAACTACTTAATATCACCAAAGTTGATGCTAGGATAAGTAGCTTAATGCGGTCGCATTTCAATCGCACACGACGCTTTACACCAACGCTTACTGTCGTTATATCCCTAGCTTTTGCCGTTTACAACCATACAAATGCAAAGAAAGTACAAAGAAAACAGTGACTTCGATGAATTTTTCTGATTCAAAATTTACTTAAACAAAACTATTTTAATGTAATTTTCATTAGATTTTCCTATTTGAAAAACTTTGTTCATTCCATCTGAATTGCATAAAAACATCTTGGCTTTGGACTTTTCCACGCCAATATGAAAAACATCAAAAAGTCGCTGTAACAATCATTTTGGCGAAGAGCATCGAATACGATATATTATGTGCCTTTACAATAGAGCCTCTCGAAAAACCTCTGTTGATTGGGTGCCGCTTCGAAAAATGGGCAGAACAGAATGAGAAACCATGGAAACAAAGAAGTACAAAAAATTCCTGCCTTTGGATTTCTTCACCTGAACAGGTAGGCAATAAAAGCTGCCGCACTTTTCGTACAACTAAGTCCGTGATGTAGATCAGTAACATTTCATAAGACAGATAGACATGTTTACAAAGTTGTTTACACGTATGTACTTACGCACTTATCTCGTAGCTAAACTGACATTTCTATGTGTACTTATGAGAACACACAAGCTCATTTAATCAGCAGACATCTATGTAATTCAACAATGCATGAATCATTCACACCTTCTAACCTAATTATCAGTCAATATTGGAGTAATACAAGACTAGGGCACTAACACCAACCTTCTTCTTGTTGTGAAACTTTACAACTGTTAGTAGAACATCATACCTTAAACGCGTTGAGCTGTACCTGTATATAGTGTTAATATATCATATCTGTATATTTTTGAGCTTTATCTGGTGACTTAATCTGAAATTTTGTTACATTTACGTGAACATCGAATCGATATTCTTTTTAGCTGTACATGTATGTGACAGCTATATATTGTTGAAATGCACTTCAGTATCATATTTGTAGACTTCAGATATCTATTTAGATATTATACCAGGATAGTTTTTGGGGTCTATGTGGTTAAATATCTGCAAACTTATAAACCTCTCTCGATATCATAGCAGCAAACTTTCGAAATTTAGGTGAACATCTTATATGCAGTTGTTCCAGATCTACATAGATATCTTACATGCAGCCTTTTACGAATCTACCTAAGCATCATATTAGTACATATCTTCAACCCTTGTTGAAAATAGAAGAACTCGGAAAAATATCCAATAACATCTCCTAAACCTTTATAAAGACAATATTTTGAACTTTATTGATGCTTTCGAGGATCACTTGTATGACAGAAAAATAAATAATGTCAAACGTATCCATTTTATTTCTACTCTGACTCTTTTCCGAAACGTCCGCGACTCAGCTGTGCGTCTTAAAAACGATGGAAACCCGCAATATTTTGCTCAACTGTTTACAGTCATCATATCCCCTCGTTTAGCATCCTATCCGATTTCTGTTTATGTTAACGATTAAGTCATGGAAGGTGTTAGAGACGGTTTTGCACGCATCGTTTACGACGACCGACATTCACCGTAACAATTCGTTTATGACAACAGTACATGGTTTCAATAAATGTTCGTGTTTGATACTGTGATTGATCGATCTGGGCAACTTCAAAATAATGCTTAGAAAATGAAAACTGCATATATTTTGATCGATGAAATTTGCCATTTCGTGATATTAACTTACCAAGAGTCCCGACTGTTTCAGTATCTTCACTTTCACTGGTTGTACGTGATGGTCTTGGTGCATTTTCTACAAAGATACCTGTTGTAGTAATATATACATGAAGAATGATACTTCTACAAAATCTCTCGCTCATGCTTCGTGAGATGAAAAAGTTAGATGCCATTTTCTTCTTCATATCGTAAGAAAAAAAAATTTCCCATTGTCACATGAGAAACATCACTTAGTCAACATGATAACCGTATTACCTTTCTGTATTTTGAAGCCCTGCTAGCCGTAGAGGTTTCGGGTTCTATTAAGCATAGGCCCTATTTCAGCAGAAAAATATTCTTCCATATAATTTTTATATGTTTGCCGTGACATTTTCACACAATGCCAAGCGAAAGCATGCTATTGAGTTTCTCATGTATGCAATTAATTTCAAAATATAACTTCGAAAGAAATCTGAGATAAAAACAAAGGGATTCTCTTTCGATGAACGGAGTTTACAACTTGATAATCTGAACTTACTAGCAGATTCTATCGTTTGAACATCATCACTTTCATCATTTGTGCCCGGTTTCGATGCTTCTTTTCCTAGAAAGATATTTGTTATAATGTTAAGCCTATGAAGAATGATAACTGTATAAAAATCTTTCGCTCGTATCTGATACGACGAAAAACCGAGGTACTGCCTACATCTGCTGGTCGTAACATGTAATAATAAGATTAGCCATTCTATCTTCGAAAGAATCACTTAAATAAGATTATAACAGTTTCAGCATTCTATAATTCGAGGGGTGACCTACTTTTCGTCTCATCTCTTCCGAACATCCGGATATGTGACCGGATGTTCGGAATTAACTTTTTTTCATGTCCGGAGTTCGTAAAGAGTCGCGTTCAGGAGATCGTACTAGAATACAGGGAAATCGGAATGATTTTACCGGATGTTCGGAATAGAGTTTTTCTTGTATATCTGATATACCACCGGGAGATCGTGATGAATAATGTCAGATGTTCGGAATAATGCATTTTACAAAAAAAA